CAGCCAAAACGCTAAAAATCTTCAATGTTTACTCAAGTTTGGGCTTATAGAAGATAATGTCACAGTTTTTCAATGACCATGAAATTCAGAGTCCGGGTAGTTAGTTAATCAATTGTGGCCCTGAAAAAATTTGAAGGAAAAAAAACTACGAATTTTTAAGAAAATGCTTTTTTCGTGAGAAGGACTCTTAAACGCTGACAAACGTCAACAAATAGCGAAAACTATAATTTCTATATGTTTGCTTTGCTCGAAATCGCGCGCATCTACAAGGCCCTAAAGCGTTTTGCTGACTTGCAAGGACCCATCTGTTATAACGATGCCCAAAATAAAGAGATGAATCTCATAGTTTATTAGATATAATCAGTGTAAAGTTTGCTTATCATTTTCGCATAAATTATGACCTAAATTTGGAAACCGCTGAATTTCTCGAATTGGGTCGTTGCGATTTTGGTGAAACTGTGTTCAGCGCAAGGCACTAATGCGCACTATGTGTAGCCGAGAGATTTTCACGAAAAAATGCCGGCAACAGAAGATTTTCGACTCAGACCTCAAAGGGGCGTGGCATTATAACCACGTGACATTTACCTCGATCGCCAAAAATTTTATGTTATATTGTAGATTGATCTATATGTTATCCATTTTATGTGTTAGACTTACGATAAAAGTAAAGGTGGGGATACCAGAGAGCTTCAAAGTAGGATGGTACCCCCCCAAAAAAACTGGGTCGAGTCACCTTAAATGCTGAGCTCACGCAATCATGAATATAATTAAATCATCAAAAAGAGACTCTTTCATGAAAGAGACTTGGAGTGATTGGTGAACGTTTTGCCATGAAAGTATATTTCCTTGGCTGTTACTAATCTAGAATGCTTTGTATTCCCGTTGTCGCACGATTTCAACGATTCCGGCCAACACATCCTTCATCGTCGAAGAATTTCTCTGCCGTCCCAGACCCGGGATACTCCTTATAACGGCCTATATGGGAAAGCTCCTCCCAGAAACTGCGACCTTGTTCTGGTGAAATTTTACTCGTTGAAGAGTATGAAAGGCGAAGGAAGTGTGTCATTTCGGTCTGTAAAGGACCCAAGAAAACTATCTGGTTATTGAAAAAGTGTTTTGTTCTGATAAAAAAAAATAGACAGTGCATTTACAGCAGTTACATGGGATGCAGCGTTCTAAACTAGGTATATGACAGGGGGGGTAGCATTTGTCAATAATAGGTATACCAACTAAAAGGGCACCTTTTCTGTCAAAAATGGTAAATAAAGAGGTTATGGGTTGAACCGCCGGGTGGATCCTCCCCCTATAAAACTTTGTTGAGTCCCCCCCCACCAGGCTACTAAGTACTTGAGTTACTTTGCATTGTTAAGCGACATGGCAGTCTTGTCCAACGCCGGGGCCACTAACTGAGAAGATTGCCGTTGAATTGTAATGTTTTAATCGCAAGGCTGTGCTTAATGAAGGGCAGAGATGTTCTATAACTACGCAGCGATTCTAAAAATAAGACAGGTGACCCTATGAACCACTGAATAAATTAGCATATGTTAAGAAATTCTCAGAAAACAGAATATATTGACGTCTCAGCGATCTGCTTCCGGGTTCATAGTGGTTCCTTCTCACAATAAGGATAGAAAATTTGCATTTATATATATCACATTAATCAAGGGTGATTCAGCGGAAGCGTTGCGTAACGAACGAACATGAAAAGACTCGATCACAAGTGAGTTGTAAAGTTTCTTCTTTAATTACTGCGACGCAAAAACAATAACGGTGTACCATATGAAAATCGCATGAGATCCCGATCATGAATAGAGTTTGTCATTGCTGGCGGTGCGAGGCAGTCTGCACTCAGCTGTGTTCGCGATGCAGAGTGGCGTATTACTGCTCCAAGAAATGTCAGAAACAAGACAAGTGGCGACATCAACCCGACTGCGATGCAGCAGCGCTGAAAAAGCAGTGTATGGGATGCGGTAGAACAGATGAAGGCATGTTAAAATACTCTACTTGTCTTAGATCATGGTATTGCGATAGAGATTGCCATAGAAAGAACTGGAAAAGCCACAAGGAACAATGTCATGAAGTTGTAATAAAAACAATACAGGTGGCGAAGAGTATAAAAATGAACCGCATAAATGCTCGGCAGTTCCCTGGCATGGAACGTACTTACTACTGGGGTAATGTGCCTGCTGTGGACCTGCTTAACTTGCCGATGAATGAAGGGGAGGAGTATTCGAACCCATTGGCTTTGCTGCTATGTGGAGTTGGTGATCCAAGGAATGTTCTACTTACGACTGCTTCGTTACCTGATGTTTATACACAGCAAGTCAGCTTCGTTTTAAACGATATCTGTCCTTGTACCCTGGCCAGAACCGTTCTACTTCTATACATGTTATACAAAGGTGAGATAAAAGACATTCCTTAAATAAAATGTAGCCTTTTCGACTGGAATATTTTCGAAAAAGGAAATCCCCGAAATGCAACGTATTTTTCTTTAATCATTCTGTGAATGCCAGAAGACTAGCAAATAACATTGAAAGATCTTGTTGCTTAAGAGTGGTTGTCAGAGAAAACCAGGCAAAATGTTAAAAATGTCAACGGAAGGGGGTCAACAGAATAAGTTCATAATAACATCATAGATAGGTCTGGTGGAGTAATGGACAAATATACCAAACATAGGTTCTTCACTGCTCTTGTATTAGAGGTACGAGCATCACTTTATTCGACACCCTCGGACGCCATTTTTATAAGCAAATTTTCACCATTTTCTGAAACTCACAGAACCCTCAAAATTTAACGAGCGAAGTTTATTTTTTGTATGCGATACAACACATCACAGAACTACTTTCTAAAACCATAAGATTTGTTAAGTAGCCACGGACAAGACTAAAATTTTCCTATTTTATCTGACCTAAACTCAGCGTCTGCAAACGAGCAAAAAATCGGGCATGTTTGAATTGATCTACCGCGCACAACTAATATGGTCGGCCATTTGTTTCAAAATTATGACACGATGTACGTGCGGTTTTTTCCCACGTATGCGTGCAATCATTCCTGCTACACGATATACGTGCGTTTTTTGTCACGTATACTTGCGTTTTATTTCCAAGTATATGACCATTTTCTTACAAACGCGCATATATATGCGCTCAAAACAGCCCATATATATGCGTTACAAACAAGCATGTGGTATATGGGGTCACAGAAAGTCGTCGTATAACAGGCACCGAATTATACCGTCAGCAAAAAACCTCTTCATGTACGATAGAGCTGAAAAGTAACTTCAGTGTGAATCAAGCATGGCCGCAATGGCCGCGTTAATTTCGAGCAAGATTTGGTTCTTATTCATTGCCCTCACAGTAGTGGTGGTTGTTGGCTCCCCGACAACGGATTTGTTGGAATCCGTCAATTGTCTCTTGAGAAACCGTGTACGCTATTTCACAAATGCTGACCGAAACGACGATCGATTCAGTTAGAAATTAGCGTCCGACAGGCAAAACACGACTCATAAGCTCTTGATAATGTGAAACATGACCTTGAGAGTCTGCTTGAACAGATTGGTTTTTCTTCTTTTCTCTCTCGCGCGCGAATTCTCACCTTTTCGCCTCCATGAACACGTTCTAAGCCTCCTAGTCTCGAAGCTTCTTATTATTTCCCTGGTAGTCTCACTGAATTTAATCGCCTTCCACCTGCCTCTCTTTCCTTAGTGCTCCTCAACTTTAATTGTGATTTTCATGGTCATCTAACTCGTTCTCGTTCAACTTGCATGAAATGTTCCTCAGGTATCCATTTGCTATTAGTTCTCAAGCCCCGACTACACCCAATCGCAAAACGTTGTCATAGCGAAATGAAAAAAGGAAAAGCCAAATAGCAATTAGTTAGACAAATAAGCCTGGTCAATTGTTTTGCAGCACCCGCACATGGACGCCGTATTTACCTGTTGGAATTTGCTATTGTTTTGAAGCTGAAAAACGATAAAAAAATTCCAGCAGGGAAATGCAGCGGCTGCAAATGAATCCACGCTGAGAATGAGGAATAATTAGCCTGATTAATTCCTATTTGGCTTTTTCTTTTTTTTAATTTTTTTAAGACAAAGTTATTGCAATTAGGTGTATTTGGAAGGATACTTTATTTATAACTTCAGTTTGGCGTTTTTTTTTTTTGCAGCCAATGGCAAATCAGTATTTTTGATTATAGCAGCTAGTTTCGCTCTCTGCACCATAGTAGCAACCGACGAGGAACTGCATTCTTGCAGAATTCATAACATTTGCATAGACACAGCAGTCAATTCCTACGAAGGAACAACAAGACATCGCGCTTTTGTTTAAAGACTCACTTCTGATCTCAAAAAAAAATTAAATCGGACTGCATCAGGCTATCAGCGGTGAGAATGATCTTGACTCACGAAAAGCATAATTCTCCATACTTGGCCAGTAGCTTTAGTGACCTGTCTTTAGTTTAAGCTACCGTGTACAACTCAAATCTGAAGATCTCAGTCACTATCCGTGAAAACTCAAAAGCCTTGAAACACCACTTATGAGCTGGGCCCAGCGTCTCGACGGGTAAGGGGTTGGACCTCGGGGCGGAGCCTCCCCGTAAAAAGGTTTATTAAGTACCTCGCTGGGATTTCGGGCGGAGCCTCCCCGTATAGGCCATCATAGGGAGTAACCTCCCCCCGCGCATAGCAGGAAATAATCACATTCCCGTGCAAAGAAACTTACATGCATGCATGTAGTTATTCCGCAGATCCAGGATTTACGGAGAAAACCATAGAAACTAAAATCTTCATTTAACCGTAATACTAAATTAAAGCTTTAGGCTTAAACAGAGGTCAAAGAAAATTAAAACACTTTACAACTGCATCTGAGGTCAACTCCTAACAGGAACACCTAAAGAACCATAAACCACAGGAGATGATTACTCAGTATGCAAGTAATTCTCTGTAGTGCTAGTAACTTTAACTTTATTATTCCATCGTTCACATAGTACAAAACTCAGTAAAGCCAAAGCCGGGGGCTTATACGACTTGTGGTCAAAATGGCAGAAATTATTTTATGTAGAAATGAAGCAACTGCGGGAGGCTAAATTTCAAAACTAAAACAAGATACAAAACTTAAATTAAGTAATGCAAGCAGTCCTATAGCAGAGGTATAGAAGTGCTAGTGACAAATAAACTAACAATAAACTATGATAATCCTGCGCTAATTCAATCCAGGCTTAAAAGGTAAAGTTTTAGTTTCTATTTAAAGTCACTGGTGGTAACTGGCTGTTACGGACTCTGTGAAGGGTATATCAGTCGGATATCCTTGGCCAAATAATCGGGGCTTGAGAACTAATAGCAAATTGATACCTGAGGAACATTTTATGCAAGTTGAACGAGAACGAGTTAGATAACCATGAAAATCACAATTAAAGTGGAGGAGCACTAAGGAAAGAGAGGCAGGTGGAAGGCGATTAAAGTCATTGAGAATACCAGGGAAATAATAAAAAGCTTCGAGGCTAGGAGGCTTAGAACGTGTTCGTGGAGGCGAAAAGGTGAGAATTCGCGCGCGAGAGAGAAAAGAAGAAAAACCAATCTGTTCAAGCAGACTCTCAAGGTCATGTTTCACATTATCAAGAGCTTATGAGTCGTGTTTTGCCTGACGGACGCTAATTTCTAACTGGATCGATCGTCGTTTCGGTCAGCATTTGTGAAATGCGTACACAGTTTCTCGAGAGACAATCCACGGATTCCAACAAATCCATTGTCGGGGAGCCAACAACCACCACTACTGTGAGGGCAATGAATAAGAACCAAATCTTGCTCGAAATTAACGCAGCCATTGCGGCCATGCTTGATTCAAACTGAAGTTACTTTTCAGCTCCATCGTAGATGAAGAGGTTTTTTGCTGACGGTATAATTCGGTGCCTGTTATACGACGACTTTCTGTGACCCCATATACCACATGCTTGTTTGTAACGCATATATATGGGCTTTTTTGTGCGCATATATATGCGCGTTTGTAAGAAAATGGTCATATACTTGGGAATCAAACGCAAGTATACGTGACAAAAAAACGCACGTACATCGTGTAGCAGGAATGATTGCAAGTATACGTGGGAAAAAACCGCACGTATATCGTGTCATAATTTTGAAACAAATGGCCGACCATAAACTAAAACGACAGAACAACTCTGACATCCAAATTACAGTCTACTATCATCCGTGTAACCAAAACACTGATAATCATTTTGGGCCATTGAAACAGGAAGAAATTAGAAAACTCACACTTGTTATAGTTTCCAAGCTTTTTCTTGCAAACAGGCCGATCCCTTCGTGTTTGTTTTAAGGCGTCTTCGTGAATTTTCTTTCATATTTCGCTGTAAGGTATGTTCAGCAGCTGGAGGACATATCAAAAAGCTCGAAATACTGCCTAAGTTACATTTTGAAAGGGCAAAAAGTGCTGAACGATAGGATGAAACTAGAAAATAACAAAGCGACGCCATCTTGAAAATTCAGCACTCAGGAGGGACTGACACTAGTAGCTGCGTTCGATATCTAACATACGGACAAAAATTGCCAATTTTTCACGACTCCGTTGTCTCGCAATTCCCAAAAGAGACTTGAGCACATAGAAAACCAAACCTAATATAGAAATGTAACCAGAAAGCCTCGGATTCATGTTAGAATTTTTCTTTATCGAACGTTGGCTACTACGAACTATTACCAGAAGCCTATTACCAATAAGATAAAAAACAAAAAACAAAAAACAAACAAACCAGCTTATCAGCGACCTACTCCAGTCTTATTTCTTCTTCAATTACTTCTTTTAGTTGAATTTAGCTTGTTTTTCTTTCAAAGGAAAAAACAAGAAGAACGCCTGATCGCAGGTTAATTGGTGATTAACTGGCATTGCTTTATTCCCTCCTCATTTCGAGGTGTCCCGTGAATGTAGATAATATTAAAGATCTATTTTGTCTCTTTATGAATCACTTAACTTCGCTCTCATGCGAACTAGCTAGACTCGCTATATATCAACCTCGAGAGTTTCTAAGCGCGCGGGCTAACTACGGGCAGTGGATATTGCTTGCTGTAAAATTTGCAATAATTTTTTAATTATTACCAACTGTAAAATAAACAGTTGAATCAGCGGTGCGGAGCAGGCATTTTAGGCCGCAAAGGGGCCAAGACAGCGGACGAAGTAATTTCTGAAAGTGAGCCTTCTAACTGACGATCTCATCGCTGTCACTTCGCATTTCCATAAGGTAATAGACTGTTGACAAGAGCTGTCAAAATAAACCATTCCTAGGGTTTACCAGAATCTGGTATACCGGAAGGATCCGGAAGGAGCTTTTGTTAAAAAGTACCATTATAGGAGTTCCTACGGCTCTGACTCCGTACCCCTTCCCCTCATTGTTTTTCCTGCTCACTCTCTTTTTCAGAATGCTCTTTGCATGGTCCATACAAGATGAACGCCACGGGTCCGGACGAGTTTTTTACCTGTGCAATCCGTTTAGAGGGAACGTGCAAATTTTCTCGCAGATTGCAATACTTTTTGCAGCTCAAATACATCACGGTTCCGCGGGTCGCACGTAAAGAAAAGGAGGATCCATGCAAGTTTTTTACAGTTCAAAAATTTGTAAAAGGGGTCATAGTGTTAACTCGAGTTGGTACCTTTTCCGGCATATTGATCATTGATAGAAATCGTACACCTGGAAGTTTACAGCCACTAGGTTCCTTTTTGTTTACTGGTGTAGTCGTGAAAGAATTGACATCTCCTACATCTCTTCGTCACTGGATTTGTCAAAAACACTCTCACTACGGTGTTTAACACAAGCAGAAACACGTTGACAGTCCTCACATTTAGAGTAATCGTCCAGGTCTTGTCTTAAATTCAGAGGAGGCAATGATAACAGAAATGGAGTTTATTCATCTGCTACGGAGGTAATTTCCAACGCCATTTCGTTTGTTAATCCTTTCCACGGCGCAGTTGGAAAAAATGCGCGAGCGAGTCACACGAGATGGCACAAAATGTGCTAAAAATAGTACATTTAATGGCTAATATATATATTTCGATGAGGTCAACCCCATCCCTGGAAAAGGTATCCAGTTACGGTTTACTACCCCGATGTATATATAGATGGCTCCTGTTAGAGTATAAAAAAGTAATTTTGTGCAATTTGGCAGCGTAATTAGAGTTGCTAGATAACTCTGTCCGCCATCAGGAGCCCTTAAACCACAATTAAAACAAAAAAAATGGATGAGTAAAGACTATACATCAATATTAATATTAATCTTGTAAAAATTCTAGTATGAGCCATTAAAATTGTTGAATGACCTTCTTCACCTCAGACACTCGTGTCAGTCAAGTGTAAATCGACGTCCGCCATTTTGAATTTTGTTCAAAAAGAACCTCTGACCTAGCAGCACAGCTGCATCTTGCGCCCATCATCTGCCCCCAAGGGGAGAGGATCTGGCTCCTTTTTCATAGGAAATTCATAAATTGTCTACTAAAACACTGTGCAATATGGAAGCAAGGCCAATTTAAGCACTAAAAGCTGCTCAGATATCTCAGAATTGGAAACGGGGGGGGGGGGGGGGGGGGGGGGAGGCTACTCAATAAAGCTTTGTTCGGAGAGGCTTCTCCCCGATGTCCAGTACCCTTAAATATACTATTTTTGACAAAAGGTACCCCTTTCGTGTATCTTCCATTGAAAAGTTGTACCCTTTTCATATATCTGCTTCGTGAGAATAAGAAAGGAGGTCTTCCGCTCATTTTCGAGTAACCTTAACATGTAAATGATGTTGCCATAAGGCGTGTTTCTTCGAAGCATTTTAATAAAAGGCCCTTTAGAATACTTAATGAAAGATTTTTGTCTCCTTTCACGTACTTCAACTTGTGATTTTCCTACCCTTTGTTACACCTGATGCTTGAAAGAGGTACCCCTCGGGCGAAGCCTTCCGGACTATGAAACTGTGCATCATAAAATCAGGAACAGGAGATGAGTGGACCTTCGGACATGGACGGCGATTGAAGACTGACGCAAAAATAGATGATACAATTAAGAGTCCAAAGAAACGCAAAGACTTATATGGGATAACTCAAAATGAAGTGAATGAAGAGCAAATGAAGACTGAATAAAGTAATGCCAGTTGGTCACCTGTTCACCACACCCCATCACTCAGCCAAAAAAAAAAAAACGACAACACAAAACGACCTAAATTTAACTAAAAGTAGTAACTGAAGAAGAAATAGGACCGTAATAGGTCGCTGATAAGCCGGTTTGTTTGTTTTTGTTTTTTATCTGTTTGGTAATTCATCACTTGTGGACAAGGCAGCTACTAGTGCCAGTCCCTCCTGAGTGGTGAATTTTCGAGATGGGGTTGCTTTGTTATTTTCTAGTTTCATCCTATCGTTCAGCACTTTTTGCCCTTTCAAAATGTAACCTAGGCAGTATTTCGAGCTTTTTGATATGTTCTCCAGCTGCTGAACATACTTTACAGCGAAATATGAAAGAAAATTCACGAAGAGGACTTAAAACAAACACGAAGGGATCGGCCTGTTTTCAAGAAAAAGCTTGGAAACTATAACAAATGTGAGTTTTCTAATTTCTTCCTGTTTCAATGGCCCAAAATGATTATCAGTGTTTTGGTTACATGGATGAAAGTAGACTGCAATTTGGCTATCAGAGGTGTTCTGTCGTGTTAGTTGTGCGCTGTAGATCAATTCAAACATGCCCGATTTTTTGCTCGTTTGAAGACACTGAGCTTAGGTCAGATAAAATAAGAAAATGTTAGTCTTCTCCGTGGCTACTTAACAAATCTTATGGTTTTAGAAAGTAGTTCTGTGATGTGTTGTATCGCATACAAAAAATAAACTTCGCTCGTTAAATTTTGAGGGTTCTGTGAGTTTCAGAAAATGGTGAAAAGAATTTGCTTATAAAAATGGCGTCCGAGGGTGTCGAATAAAGTGATGCTCGTATCTCTAATACAAGAGCAGTGAAGAAACTATGTTTGGTATATTTGTCCATTACTCCACCAGACCTATCTATTTATTCTGTTGACCCCCTTCCGATGACATTTTTTAACATTTTGCCCGGTTTTCTCAGGCAACCACTCTTAAAAGATAAACAAATGACAGCTTTTGTCTGTTCTTGTCCACATGTACGTTCACTACATGTACACGGCAAGAGATCATTTCGGCTTGGTTTGTTGGCTTTTACATTTCGTAACACGCGCTATTACTCCACAGAACTTTTTTTTTTCAGTTATCACCCTATTCACTTGCATGCATGGAAATGTATAATTTATTAAAATGATAATTTAAAAAAAAAACATGAATTGAAATAATGCGATAAACACACCAAGATAAAAAGGTCTATAGTCGTTGAGTCGTTTTGTGGCTGATTCTCCAAATAAGTGCAAAAGGAATTCGGAGCCTTAAACGTGACAATCAGCTAGGATTAGCCTTTTAGATGAACAGACATAAAGTCTCAAATGATCCCCTAGCTTTCACCGCATTCAGAACTGGCTTTTTAAGCCCCTAGGTAGCCCCACCCCCTGGGAATCATTCTACCCTCCCAGAGGATCACTGGATGTTCTGAAGTCATATAATGGGCCAAATATCACTCCTTATCTGGACGGCCTCCATCTTTAGAAATTTTCACCTGTAAATCAAATTAATTGGAGTCAAAATCGTGACATTATAAGAACAGATAATAGCGATGACAAAGTGTCATCATGCAAAACAAAAACAAAAAAAAAACACCAAAACATTAACCTTTTTTCAATGAGATGATAATTGAAAATTACCACCAACCCGGTCAAATATGAAAAACAATAATTGCGTTCAATGCGGGCCATAAACGAAAACGATTTTGGAAGAACACTTCCCAGTGCCGAGATATACTGCTGCAAGTAAAATAGGTAATAGCGTCATTTCATTGCTATGACAACTCCGATGTCATTGCAAACCTGATCATAACAAATTGTCGTCTTTATCTAATACAACTGTGGTGGCCATTTTTCCAAATATTTGTTTATGGCGACGTAGTTTATGCTCAAACTTGGGAGGTATTGACCCTAAAAAACTGTATCGAGCCACTTTAACGGACGTTTTTTACCACGTAATGGTACCCCTGAGAACTGTTTCTGCCTAATGAAGTCCTATGTAGGTGCATCCACGCGAAAATGTATGCATAAATTATGGAGAGACAAAAGGCAAATTCCCTGGAGAACATCACGTGCTCTGAGTTGGGAAAACAAAACATACATGCTATGATGGTCTATTGTTAAGAAAGTTTTTGCACATTTGAAAACGTTTGATTTCACAGAACGTATATAGGATGATATAGATCAAAACTGAAGCTTTGACATGACTTTTCTTCCGCAATGAATAAGCATGCAGTGTTCAAAACAGAGGCTATCTGGATCAGTTATCAAGTACTCCGATGCCTACGTTTTATCAAAACTGTCTTAAAGATGACTTCTTTTAATGAACCGCAAGCGTTGATTAGCTTTACTATAAGACGGTCATGACAATGTGATCGCTTTCTCTTCATTACGCAGCCTTTGAAAAGCAAAGGAAAGACAAGTAATATGGACTAAACAGAGTCCATCTCAGCAAAAGAACACTGGTTCCTCCGAGACTCTTGTTTCTACTTGCATGGTTATATTATAATTAAAATTGAATATTTTTCATCTTGCAGCACAAAATGACGGAATTGGTACTGTAATCCGGATATGGTATTCGTTACGAATTTCAGAAAGCGATTTTTCACTGCTGATGTCCGGTTTGCAGGACCTTTTGCACGCTAGTGATTTAAACACTCTAACGAATGGCTTCGTGAACATGGTGTCAGTTGATCAACTGGGTAAGCTGAAAGAGGTGTGGCAAGTTTGGGTCCAGTTGTCTTCTCTCACAGGACCCTGGGTAACTGAACAAAGGAATGACGCCTTCCATAGCGATACTGGATCAGAAGCTGGGATTTTTAACTATCTAAACTCGATCCCAAAAGACCACAAAAGATCTGCTAAGTTGTGGATGAAAGATGGGCTTTTTGCCTCAAAATGCGTGAAATCATCGAAGTTAACGCGAGAGAACGTAACTCTAACAAGTTATCTATTCCAGTATGAGCCTGGAGAACAAGACGACTACGACTTCAACATAGAACCCAGCAATCTTCCCTTTTCAAGCTGGGATTACAAAGCCGTGACGAGTGTCTGCTACAATGATTCGCTTCCAGAGATGTTCAGCACCTACTTATCATATATCATGAACAAGTGCATTGACAAACTGAGAAGCGGTCGGGTGAAGTTGGAGGTGATACTATGTGACTGCATGATGATTGATCCATTCCTACCTGTCGACCTTACATATGACCGTATTGCAACTTCCAATCTAAGCGACTACATTTCCCTTCCCGCCTTACTGACAAAATTCAAGGGGTACTTGAATATCAGCAACAGTCATTCAGTCTTAATGACTGAAATGCATAATTGGGTGGATGACTATTTGCCCCAAGTGAAAGCTGATATATTTTTGAGGGCCCCTGAACTTACACCGAAAGTTGTGAAGGACACAAACAATCCATTGCTCGTGGCGACAGGGCACTTGACGAGCTTAATTGAATACCACAACATTATTCCAGACTTCCAACTCTACCTCCGTGCCGCTCTCATGGAGTCATACAGTGAAACAGAATTGGAGTCTTTCAGTAAACAAAGGAAGAAGCTTCCATCCATAAAAACTATCACTTCTGTTTTGGGCGTGGAGCTACGTGACTATGTGAGAAATGAAAACACTGTGTTTCCCTTCAAGTGGGCTGTGAACTGCCGTAGAGTCAACTTGAATAGGGGAGATGAATTTACTTTAGAGTGGACCCTTCCCACGTCATCTCAATAGTTTATTACTGACTTATTCGCCCAGCCACACAATTTACCCTTTAGGTCTACTAGAGCTATGGAGTGTTTTCTCTCTCCCGTGTAACTGAAAATTAGAGGTCAGTTCAGATAACGCTCCATTTTGGATCGAACAATTTGCACAGTCAGCTGCTTCTTTTACCAGTTACTTTTTTACTAGCGTTGGTTTAAGACGTGTAGTTGGGAGCCAAGTACTTTACAGTCGTTTGTTACTGGCACGTTTTGGAGGTACTTTCAACAGCTTGCGAAAGGGCAGCTCTCTCGGACGCTATCGCTTTACAGTACATTAGTATGCACTTACAATTCAAGTTCTTTCGAGGACAAAATGTACCACAGCGGAAACACTTGTTAACTTTTGGTTTAGTTCTTTTGTTTGCCGACAGGTGCAGTCTCTTCTATTTTTTGAAAGATAAACTCACTCTAAATTTCAACTTGGCTCTTATTGCGTCCTTACTGAAAACACCTGAATCAAAGCTAAAAGGATTATAGCGAGAATGTTTATGTTTTCTGGTAAAAGTATATCAGTTTGGTGCAAATTTGTTTTTACTTTAGTACCAATGAGATGAATTTAATTGCAATAGAGAAGTAGACGTGATTCATTAGTACCGGTTGCAGCGAAAACATCTTTGATTTTTCTACTGACAGATGCTATTGTCTCTCTGAATTCAGTGTATGGTCATTATTGTAAATGTTCTCTCGACTACTCCATTTCGCGAAAATGGAAGAGACAAATTAGCTTTTCCTACGTTAAGAAACTCGATAAAGAGCGGGGATTACATAACGTCACAAATCACTTACTGAGCCAAATATTCAAATGACTTGTTCTTGAGGAAAATGTCGCCCATCCTCAACCATTTCTTCTAACTGATGACTTCTGAATATTGACTTGAGTGTGAGAGAAGTTTTTCGAACCAAACATATGTAAGGTCAGCCTGAAGATACATCCTTATAACTGGAGATGAGGTCTCTCTCTCATTAAGGCTGAGTCCAGAAAGGTCTTCGAATGGAGACGTTAGTTATATAAGATTTGTCAAGATTTTAACGGGGGAACTGATGCGAAAAATTGTANCCTGGGGTCGAGAATATCGAAGCAGACTCTGCTTCCCGGGTTTTTAATGACAAAACAGAATGGAAACTAGACCAACCAGTGGTGTCAGAAATTTTTTCCTTATTTGGCAAACCTGACCTTGATTTATTCGCATCCAGACTTAACCATCAACTGTCTCGTTATGTTTCATGGATCCCTGATCCTAATGCTGTTGGAGTAGATGCTTTTACATTAGACTGGGGAACACAATATAACTATGTTTTTCCTCCCTTCAGTTTAATTTCACAAGTTCTACAAAAGGTGGAGGAGGATCAAGCAGAAGCAATCATGATAGCCCCTCATTGGCCAACACAGTCCTGGTTTCCCAAATTAACAAGACTTCTGGTGCAGACCCCAGTGCTACTCCCCAATCGTCCCAACATCGTACACCTCCCCTTCAACCCAGGGAAAGAACACCCATTGGGGGCAAAACTGCTGCTGATGGCATGTCACTTATCAGGGAAAGTCTCCAAAATAAAGGCATTTCAGCGAGGGCTCAAGAGCTCATTCTGCAGTCCTGGAGGGAAGGAACCCAGAAACAGTACCGAACATACTTACAGCGGTGGACCACATTCAGCAGTGGACGGAATACTGATCCCATTCAACCAGCTATATCAGAAGTCATAGATTTCTTAACTGAACTGTTTGATAGTGGACTCGGCTACAGTAGCCTGAATACAGCTCGTTGTGCTCTATCATCTGTTATCCACCTAGATGATAACAAAACTGTGGGTTCTCACCCATTAGTTAACCGTTTTTTGAAGGCTGTATTTAACAATAGGCCTAGTATACCTAGATACCAGTCGGTCTGGGATCCCACAAGCGTTTTGACATACCTTCAAACATTTCCACCGCTGGAAAGCATAAGCCTTAAAGAGCTTACCCATAAGCTAGTTATGTTAATAGCACTGGTTACAGGCCAGCGATGTCAGTCTTTCCATCTTATGGATATTACTAGTATGCAGAAAAATACTGACCACTATAAATTTCTTATTAAGGATATTGTTAAGCAGTCAGCTCCAGGCAGGAATCTACCAGAGCTTATCCTTCCTGCCTTCCCAGCAGATGGCAGGGTTTGCGTTTACTCAGTTCTCTCAGAATACATTAAGTGTACTGCACCCCTTAGAGGTGGAGAAACCAGACTCTTTATTAGTTTTGTTAAACCCTACCAGGCCGTGTCTAGGGACACTATTTCACGTTGGATTAAGAATGTTATGATCAAGGCTGGTATTGATGTGGAAGTGTTCAAACCCCATAGTACCAGAGCTGCTTCTACCAGCAAAGCAAATGCATGCCAGGTGCCTATAGATGTGATTCTTAAGGCAGCGTCTTGGAAAGGAGATTGCACTTTCCGTAAGTTTTACAACAAACCTATTGAAGATAATGTTTCTCGTTTTGGCCAAGCTGTTCTTGGTACCAGCATTAATGTATAAGCCTAGCTTTCTAGGTCTTGGTTTTTTCTACTACAGTTAATAAACTAGGACACCAGTTGTGTTTTATAGGTGTTCCTTGTTTATTTTGTCTTCGTGTCCATATGGCTTTGAAATCTCATGGAATCTCTGCTGCGATGACCTGGTAGAATTGTAAATTAAACGAGACTTACCTGTAAGGTGAAGTTTGATTGAGGTTCTACCAGGTCATCACAGCAGCAGAGATTACATGCCCTCCCAGTTGTTACCCTCCCTGGTTTCATACTCAGCCCATATCCTGTTATGGGCCTACTGGGTCTTCTTTTTATTACATACGGACACTCAGTGCTTTTAATATTGACCAGCTATGCGCATGCGCTATCTCATGTAATCTCTGCTGCTGTGATGACCTGGTAGAACCTCAATCAAACTTCACCTTACAGGTAAGTCTCGTTTAATTTACAATTATATAAGATTTGTCAAGATTTTAACGGGGGAACTGATGCGAAAAATTGTAGGCAGCTAGAAATTTCTTTACCAACAACTAAAGCCGTTTGCAATTATTGGTTGTTAATTTTTTATATTCTTCCACTGCCGACCGAAATGAAATACAAGTTACACAACCGCTACCAAGATTCTTCTCAACCTCGTTCCCAGGGTTCTCTCTCTTGCTTCGTGACAATGAACTCCTCATTAGGGACATCAAAGCAGGGCAAATGTATTTTCTGAATATGGCCTAAACCTCGAGGCAGTAATATGCATTCAGGCACTTGCTATTCATTGTGAAAAGTTAAATAAAGGGGTGAGGTTTGTTTATGATTGTTCATTTGAAACAATGTTTTGTGAAGATCGTTCTGAAAATTTTGAATTCGACCCGTTTGATTTTCAGTCTGTTTAGTGTCGTGTAAACAAGAAGGTACTCGCTTGACAACACACACAAAGTTTATTTTCAAAAGCAGTATTTTAATTACCAGTGATACAAATATTTCTATTCATTGTGCTTTCAAGAAGTGCTTCTATCGTATACATCACACAGATGAAATATTAAGCTCACGCTTTTCTAGCTATCGCTAATTTTGTCAACAACACTGCTGGATTTAAATTAGCTAAACTTAGCTTAACCTTATATTGTCTGATTCGGTTCCTTTTTTTTTGATCACCTTTAAATGTCGATGAAAGAAAGCATGAAGAAGCAAAGTAAGTTACATTTGATTTATATTTCAGGGTTTTTATGGATTAAAGTCTGGTCTCAGTTCTGTATCGAGGTCGGCCCTTGCACTGACTGGTTTGCAAGGTTTGCATGAGAACAAACCTTTCCAATCAGTGGCATTAAATTCTTGATAACTGAAAGTATTGTATTAACTGGAGATGCTAAAATTGACTTGTTTCCTCTTCATCTCATAACATGATTTCGAAACCTGACGGCTTTCCGGCTGTAAGTTTGCTGTTCTTAATCGACCGGTAACCGGCCCCACTTCATGCCGCGGCAAAGAAGAATCAAACGTTTTCAACGCAATACTTACTTTCCGCGAGTCAACAACAACTTGAACTTTAATTTTTTAGGTCGAAAGCACGTGAATGATATGAAAAACCTTTGCTATAAACTTGTTCTGATAACTTCAAAGTAATGCTTCTCTAGCGTGCAAGCTCTCCAGTGTATTTTGCCCCTTTCTCACAACGGCGACAATTTTATACTTTACTACCCCTCCTATGAGGTAAATGCTTGTTAGCCCCAGATTTTGGGGGCTATGTGACCACCCGCAAACAGAGTTCTTTCTCGAAGCAAGAGAGAGAACCCTGGCAACGAGGTTGGATTCTCTTCTGTTATCCAAAACCGTTTTATTCATCCTATTATGAAACAATATGTATAATTCAGGTGAAGAAGAAGATGAACAAAATAATAATGATAATAATGATAACAACAACAGTATTAAGTTACGATCTGGTATGCACGGACAGCAGACGTCTCTCTTCCTTTGTATTTCAGAGCTAAATTACTTTAGTATTTCCTTCTATAACATCATTAAAAAACTTGGAGGAAAAATTCCTAGAATTAAAATTGGACTTTAGAGTACTTCCTGTTTTCAACACTGAGAGTCGTGCTAAATCAGCACACGTTTCATTGCTGTGAGAGATTTAATTTGTCTCACTTTGCCGCAGCCTTATCTAAGGTAGAAATTAGTTTCCATTCCAGTGTTCTGATATAGCCGCTCATCATGTTAACTCTACGACAATTAACCGCCCATTTAAAAGGAAAAACGGTGTTTTCGTTTCTAATAAAATCCCGCAGATATAGTCCTAGGGAACGCACTAGACTTTTCACAGATGGGATCTTCTTTTTTCTGTCAAACGCAGCGAGTTCTTTCTCTGTACAAGACACTAGAAGAGATGCACGCAGATACATGACAAATTCATCACTCAGGTTTAAATATTCGATAACGGTAGAATTACCTGAAGAGAAGACCATTTCTGGATCTTGCGTGTCCTTTACAGCCCTCTCATGCAGTAAATCAATACAACTATTTGGCAGTTTCTCAACGATTTCCGGCAAAACGTTCGGCATGTTGATTGTTTCAGTCAACAGGACTGCATGAGGATTCGACCTATTTAAAAACCTCTTCATCTTTGTCAGTAACACGGAAATGGGTAGGTAATCCCATAAGTTGGAAGTGGTAATGCGGTCATACGTGATAATCGCAGGAAGATGCGCCTCGATCTCTAGAGCATCGCAGAGAATAAAACGGAACTTAACACGACCAGCGTTCATATTTTCAAGGGACTTCTGTAAAATCTGGGACACGTACATGGTGTACATCTCTGGAAGTGAGTCATAATAGCAGATTTTCTTTATCGCCTTGTAATCCCACCCAGTGAACGGATGCAGATCTGAAGTCATGCTGTAGTGAAAGTCAGCGCATTCTGTAAGTGGACTAAGTACACGACCAGTCAAAGTAGGATTTTGTCGAGTTAGTTCTTCAGTGGGATTTGCTGTAGAGGGAAAAATGCCCGTGTCAAAATACTCTTTCGCAGAATTTCTGTGTGGTTTTGGGATGGTATCCAGGTAACGAGGTAGTCCAATCTGAACTTCTGGTCGATCAGCGGAGAAAACCATTTTCCTTTCATTTGATACCCATGGTCCTTCGCGCTCTGACAAGCGAAGCCACGCTGTCCAAACACTCCTAAGCTGTTCCATTTGCTCAGCAGAAATCTCCATCACTCCTTTAGTAAGACTGCTTAATTCGTTAGTTGTAGCAAGGTCTCGAAGTGATGAGGTCAGCAAGACGAAGTCTTCTTCAGAAATGCAGACTGAATACCAAATTCGAATCATGGCATGAAAGATGTTATCACCTCCTGCCAATGTAAAAGAAGAGAATGGGTGTTGAATATTAATATAATTAAACTTTGATCTTAGGGTCACTAGCGACACTTAGCGATAGTAGTAAATCCACTGAATAAATAAAAAATATGGGTTCTTTGAGATTTGAAAATCAAATTTAAACAACAGCAGTAACTTCAGATTCTACACCTAAATAAAACTTATTAGTTCCTCGCGACCACAAGAATAATTTGTTTGCGCCCTGCTTGACATCACATACTGTCCCCATTAGTCTCGATAAACTAGCTGGATACAGTGGGCAGATAATTTAACGCAAGAATCTCATCTTCGGTCGGTAGAAACAAAACAGCGATACGATCGATGGGCAAACACTAAGAACATAACAACAGAAGAACATTGTCTTCCTCGTAAAATGTCGTTAAATCCTTCACGACTTTGTTGTGCTTAATGCTTCCAGCAAAAGTAAGTTTAAATATGGTATGACTGAGTCACGAATAGTGGTGCCGCTCACCGCAATAACTTGAGTACCTAAAAGTACCCACTTACAAGTTTATATCTCACCAAACACGGGTACCCTAAATGTGCTGCATCGACAAACTAGCCATATGAGACTGGTCACAGCTATGTTTACATTGATAGAGGAGAAGCATGAAATTGTTAAAGAATTATTCCTTGTTCTGTATAATTTAAGACGTTCGTCTTATGACGTTACGACTAGCATGATGCACTTTTAATTGAGACGTTCTGTAGTTGTGCTGTGGCTTTCTTAAGTTTTGTCTCGCCCTAACATCGGTATCTGTCGACAAATGCCCTTTTTGGGGCTCATCAGTATGGCGCAACAACCAGAGAAAACTCTGATAAAAAATATCCGCGCACTCTGATTTTAAGCCCTGACCCAGAACTCTCAACACCCACAGAATCACGCCATAACACGTGTCTTCTGGAGGGCAAGAGTCCAAGTGTCAAGTTGATGTCTCGCAGAGAAAATAAAGAATTGGCTAAAACCAACCTCAAAAACATGGAAAAAAACCATGCAAGAATTACAGCATAACGGATCTATAAAAGATCTACGGCCCAAAAATTTATAAAGTACAAACACTAACCATAAAGTACTGCAAAGGACCGCAAACGAATATGCCGAAGGACGTAGGATCTATAAAGACCTGATCAGCAAAAATAATAATGTAGACATATCAAATTCTGCAAGGGCGAAACAGCTGTCTATGGCTGCAATCCCGCTCTGTTTTGAGTTCTTTCGGGGTCGTGTTGATGTCTTGCAGAGTTAATTTTCACGTAGTACGATCAGCATTGCAGTATTTTGCATGCAGAATTTAATATGTCTAAATTCTTCCTTGTTTACATCCAATAAGGCGTGAAAGTTGAAGCTTCAAATAAAAAACTCCTTAGCTAATTAAGCAAAAAATGTAATCCCTTAAAAAAGTGTACAATAATTTACAAACATTAACAAAAATACCTTTGTACAACATATAGAGAAGAAGGACTATTCTGGCCAGGGTACAAGGACAGATGTCGTTCAAAACGAAGCTCACTTGTTGAGTATAAACATCAGGCAAAGAAGCAATGGAAAGCAGAACATTCCTTGGATCACCAACTCCGCAAAGCAACAAAGCCAATGGGTTCGAATACTCCTCCCCTTCATTCATCGACAAATTGAGCAGGTCCACAGCAGGCACATTACCCCAGTAACAGGTGGCGAAAAGGCCCTTAAAACTATTTTTAATTTGCAAAACTTCCTTTATTTTGTGGACTAATGCCAACGTTTGATCGACAGTCATCTCGCAGAACGTTTTATGCCTTCTCCAGTCTTCTCTTTGACATTCTCTGCCACAATAATGGGCTTTCAAGCAGTTAGTACACGTCATCATTCCCTCTTGTTCATTATTGCAGGCGAAACACCGCATTTTCAGCGCTGCTGCATCGCAGTCTGGTTGATGTCGCCACTTGTCTCTGATCTGACATGCCTTAGAGCAGTAGAATGCTACTCTGCATCGCGAACACTTTTGAGTGCAGACTACCTCGCACCGCCAGCAATGACCAGCTCTGTTCATGAGTTCACAGATGTCATCCGCTCAACAGATTTTCATTATTTCACTGTCGAACTAATTCAAGAGATGTGAATAGACTTAACAATTAATTTGTGACCATGTCTTTTGTTCACTTAGTGTAATACGAAGGCCCCATTGTATGAATATTGTAGAGCTTTTGTGTCTCATACGGTGATGAAGTACAGAATTTCCCGGTTAGCCATTTTAAAATTTAAGTTAAATAGCTGTTCTTGATAGGATATACACAGACATCAACCAACTTTTACTCGGAAACAGATTGTTAAGGATTTAATATATTCCTTTTTCTCAGAATTTCTTAATTATTCATTCATATACATGTCATGTTTTCAAGGTCACGTAAAATATCCGAGTCCTTCTTAAAGCCTACTGTCTGAAGTGTATCGTTTTGAGAAGGTATGAGGCGGAAAGTAAACTCTGCTGGTAACCTCTTCGATGCAAGCACAGAATCACCCTGTACATAACGTTTACGAGAAACAGGGACAGATTTTTGAAGATCTAATATATTCCTTTTTCTCAGAATTTCTTAACATATGCTAAATTATTCAGTTCATGAGGATACCTGTCATATTTTCATGGTTGTGTAAAATATCCGAATCTATCTTTAAGTCTACTGCCTGGAGATCTGACAAGATCATCGTTTTGAGAAGATAAGTATATAGCGGAAAGTATACTCTGCTGGTAACCTCGACTCAATAATAGAATCACCCTGAACATAACTTTTACAAGACGCAGGGGTAGCTGGAAGTAGTCCGTGGTGCTTTGTCCTTTCCTGTTTGCGTTGATCGATTAGTACGGTCACTGAGGTGACTGAGTTCAGACACAAAACAACTCCTGATTATGATTTCTTGGAATTTTCTCTATGTCAAATTATTCAGTGTTTTTTTAAAGTGGCTTGTGGTATCCAAACAAAGATTCTTCTGCGCACGCGCACGCACGAACATCAGAAGTCTTAATTTCCAAATTAGGCCGGGACAAAAGCCAGCAAAGTGCTTGTCTTGTAAACAACATTCTCGACAGTTGTGGTTCTTTTTAGCCCGACGGTGACCAGCAGACTGCTCGAATACGTTACCACTTGAGTTTCACACAAAATGTTCAGAGTGAATGGGTTAATTTGTCGTGATGTAACACTTTCGATGTTTTCCATAAAAATTTCCTTCATTAATAACTTACAATTGAAAGTTCATGTATTCACTTTTCCGAGAAATTCGAAACTGAGATACAGTTTGTGGCCTGAGCTATTCGTGACAAGAATATGGTCATTCAACGCGGTTCATATTTCAAAACTGTTTTCTTATGAAGCCTAGCAGTCATTCTAATAACAAGAAAAACGATAAAAAAGCAACCAAAAACCTGCTTTATTTTAGCAAGTATAGGATAAACATTGTGGTGCTTTGCAGTCAGCTCTGTCAAACTATCCACAGAACGTTTCTCGAATCATTACCAGTAGCACGGAAAAAAGTTGCGGAACTCCCTAACATTTGCGAAACAATATTCTCCACTTGAAAACAGTTTGATTTATTTTATTGAGCTGTAGCCTCAGCAGCAGAATCAGAATTAAGTTTCCATTCCAATGCTCTCTCGTAGCCTCTCAACATGACAACTCGACGACAATTCAGTGCCCATTTAGGAGGAGAAACAGTGTTCTCGTTTCTTATAAAGTCTCGGAGTTGCAGCCCCAGCGAATGAACCAGATACTTCAGAGATGGAATCTTCATTTTACGTTTAAAGGAAGCTAACTGCTTATCTGTACACGAGACTAGAAGAGATGAGCGTAGAAAACGAAGAAAGTCTTCTGTCAAGTCAAGATATTCCACAACAGTAGTAAGTCCCGATGAATTCACAAGTTCGGCATTCTGTGTGTCTTTCAAAGCTGTCCCACATAGTTTATCTATTCCGACTTGATATGGCCTAACGTGAATGATTTCAGGCATATAGTTTCGCGGCCAGTTTTGTGCTTCTGTCAACATCACCGAGTGGGGATTAGCAGTGTTAAGAAAGCTCTTGAATTTTGTCAGCATATCTGCTAGGGGATAGAAATCCCACAAGTTGGAAGTGGTTATGCGGTCATAGCTCAGATCTGCAGGTAGGTAAGGGTCAATATTGAGAAAGTCGCACAAAATAAAATAAAACTTCACCCGTCCACTGGTCATTTTTTCACAGGATTTCTGCAGGATATCTGTGATGTAACTGGTGTACATATGCGGCAGTGATTTAGAGTTGTAGATTTTCTCCATTGCTTTGTAATCCCATCCCGTGAATGGAAACACGTCTGCAGGTATGCCGTAGTGAAATTCAGAGCTTAATACTGAGAGCCTTCCGCGACCAGTCAAGGTTGGATTTTGTTGAGTTAATTCCTTAGATTTTGTTGTGGTGTGAAAGATGCCCGTGTCCAAAAAGCGTTGTGCGGACGCTCTGTGCGCTTTAGGGATGGAGTGTAGGTAATGCCTTATACCGGCCTCTCTTCCTGAATCTGACGAGTGGGCTGCTTTCCTCAGCTCTGTTACCCAAGGTCCTTTGAGCTCTGACAAACGAAGCCACGTGGCCCAAACAGTCTTAAGCTGCCCCAGCTGAGCAGTAGAAACCTCCATCTTGCCATCGGTGATGGTGCTGAGTTCGGCTGTGGCCACGAGGTCTTGAAGGGCTGATATTAGCAGGGAAAAATCTTTGTCAGAAATGCAGACAGAGTACCAAATCCGGACCACTGCCGAAGAGACGCCATTTCCCCCTACAAATAGTGCACAAGAGTTATGGTAAGTTCTAGCTAAAACTGCATGCGCTTAAGAGAAAAGAAATCTAGTTTATACCAGTACTACAATATGTTGCCCAGATACCGGAAGGTACCAGTTTTCGGCCACTGCTGGGAAAACAAAACCTCAATTATTCCCATTGCGAACCAAACATTTTAGTTATGAAATGTAAATTTTGGCGGGCTTACAGCTTGAGAAACAGTTGGAGAAGGCGCCGATCTGTTCAGGTGAGTAAAATTATCTCGGCCAATATTTACTTTGTTTACTGCGCAGTAAAACTAGTGCTGTTCAAATAACGGTTCAGTAATAGGTAATATTTTCAAAGAATTTGTTGAATATTTGACGTGAAGATACTTAACGAGTTAATTTGTCAGAAAATTCACTATTTATTCTTGAAATTTAACTTGTCTGGAATAAACGAGGCCAGAAACATTCACTATTGTATTGACTTCAGGTGCCCAGTATCCGGCCAGTTTTATCTTTGCTGTGCAAAATCGTTGAATTGGCAGCGTGAATTCTCCGGACTACATTTATTTCTTATCCATGACCTTAATTATAGCTTAGCAAATACATGTAATACGTACAATGTAATTCTACTCAATCTGAACTGCGTTTTGTTCGTTTCTTTTTTCATATTTTATCTCCACAGCCCCAGACTAAACTTAATCAGCCGCTCGCGCAGTTCTCCCCACCATAACCAGCATTTTATACAATGTTTTGTTTCAGATGCTAAGTTCCTTATTTAAGGCGATTTATATTTTCGGAATGGAATGCCAGACTACTTTGCTAGACCCAGGATAGCCTATATGTGGCTTGCCTGTCGAAAATTACGTTGTTTTTGTTGTGGTTGGATACTGGGCCTGCTGGCCGGATACTGTGCAACATAGGAGCTCTGCAAAAATAATAATTTCATGATAGATATGAAAGTAAAAAACTTAAGCTTTTTTTCGTCTTATTACAGACTAAATAGATCTTCTCTGGGCCAGATTTCAGACCTCTTGCAACTAAGGAAGGGAAGTTATAGCAATTTCCTTTCAGAAATAGCATTGATTTTACAATGTCTGCAGAAAGAGAAGTCGTAATCTCTCTTCAAACGGTATACAGATACAACTCACTTCAATTTCGTAGGATTTCACATTTTAAAAGCACTGCATAATTAGTTCCCAATATCAACAAGGATTTTACAAGTTAAACCGCTACCAAGAATGGTTTTGATAATATTTAATACAATGATGGAAAAATAAATTTAGGGACGCCTCAAACCATCTAGATATACAAGTAACCATAAATATGTATATATATATAAAATATACAACTAGCAATCCAAACTACCTTTATATAACATGTATAGAAGTAGAACGGTTCTAGCCAGGGTACAAGGACAGATGTCGTTTATAACGAAGCTGATTTGCTGTGTATAAACATTAGGTAACGAAGCAATCGTGAGTAGAACATTCCTTGGGTCACCAACTCCGCAAAGCAACAAAGCCAATGGGTTGGAATACTCTTCCCCTTCATTCATCGACAAATTGAGCAGATCCACAGCAGGCACATTACCCCAGTAATAGGTAGCGAGAAGGCCAGGATTATCCTTTTTTATCTGGTGATGAAACTTAATTTCTTCAACTAATCTCAACGTTTCGTCAACAGCTTTCTGACAGAAAGACTTGTGTCTCTCCCAGTCCTTTCTCTGACATTCTGCGTTGCAATAGTAGGATTTCAAACAGTTGGTACATTTCAACATTCCCTCCTGCTTAACGCTGCAGCCGGAGCACTGCATTTTCAACGCTGCTGCCTCGCACTGGGGTTGATGGCGCCACTTGTCTTGTTTCTGACACTGCTTGGAGCAGTAATACGCCACTCCACATCGCGAGCACCGTTGAGTGCAGACTGCCTCGCACCGCCAGCAGTGACCAGGTCTGTTCATGATCTTTGTCGTTTCGCTTTCACTTTTTTACGAGGCACGATTCTTAATTATCAAAGACAATTACCTTTGAAGATTGCTAACATTGCTATCGTTCATAGTCAGTGTCGTTTAACTACTTCTCAAAGGATAAACGGGGATTGATAAAAAAAATCCTGTCTTATCCAAGATAATCGAAAGACCTCCTTTACAATCTTCTGAAGAATATTTTTTCTAAGTTTCCACGAAACGTTTTTCTAGAATAACTGAGTTAATCTATTCTCTTTTCCGAGAATTTCGAAAGTTATGCAAAGTCACTGAAAGACCACACAAGCGTGAACAGAATGATAGCACACCCATTGACTTCCCTCCCTCGCCACTAATTTCAACGGTTGAGTAGAAACATCGAATTAACTGCTACCAATTAGCAGATAGAACCTCTTCCCATCCTCGACTCTGCTTTCAGATAACCAGTTTTGGTGGCACAGGGTATTGATAAACAATAAAAATGGTATCGATAACGCTTTCCTACCTGTTTTGTTTCTGAAATTTATTGGAGAAGTAAAACGCAACTCCACCTCTTGAACACCGTCGAGGAAAGACTGCCTCGTACCTCTAGCAGTGATTGGTCCTTTCATGATCTTACCTTACTCTTTCAAGGTTCAGCTAGTTACCTGGCCTGATTCTAAAGTGCTAAAGTAAATGCGTACTGAATTACTCGGTTAAGGTCTTTTAGTAAGCTACCCAGCTGTTTAGGGAATAATTCGGGTTGAATATACAGCGTTTTTTCCTGATAAGCAATGGCTTTCAGTATGTTTGCAGTACGTTGTTATAAGTGTTCCTGTAATGCGGCAAAATCAAAGTAACCCTATCTGATCTATATACAAATATTTCGTAGTAGTGTGTGTGTAAATATTGTCATGAAAGATATTAATTATCATGGGTAATGTGTATAAAGGGTTTAGTTTATCATTTGTCTCACGATTGTCACTTTGATATTGATCATGACGTTTCGACGGCACACTGCAGGTCTTCATAAGGCGATAGTGTAGGTTTACTGAGTCAGACTATTTGTACCACCGTGATTGTTAGTGATTGGTGTATCACGAACCTCGCTCATGGTTGGTGGGTTTCGATCCAAAGCACTGGTACTCTCGTAGAGTTTCAAGAGGCTATTCAAATAACACTTCACCCTAATAACATCAACAGAGACAGTGGAAGTGAGATTCCTGAAGCGTGGATGCCTACAATCAGACAACATAACAGCCGATCGTTACCAAAACGGACCGCTGAGAGATCAGTTTCCTCCTCTGATAATACCTGACCAACAATGCCTTGGATCGAAACCCACCAACCATTAGCGAGGTTTGTGATACAACAATCACTAACAACCACGGTGGTACAAATAGTCTGACTCAGTAAATCGACAATATCGCCTGATGAAGACCTGAAGTCTGCGGTCGAAACTTCGCGATCAATATAAAAGTGACAATTGTGAGACGAACAATAAACTAAACCCTTTATACAAATATATATTATGTCGAGAAATATGTTGTAGACAAGACAAGACAAGACAATGCTTTATTTGCAGTCTTATACAGTCCTATTTAGATCGACTTTATCCAAATAATTTCAAAATCATAACACACATTGCACACTAGTGGATGATATTAGTTACAATTGGATTTCTTGATTACTAGAAGAAAAGAGTATCGTCAGCTTATGCATAAAACGTTAATTGAAAACGTGACCAAACAAGAACGAGCCTCCCAAATAATTGAACAGAAAAACATCATATGGTGCCATTCTGTTTGCTGATATTCTGTATTCTTTGTTTAAGTATTCAAATAATATACTTCTTTTTTCTTGATACGCAGGGCACAGAGTTAAAAAGTGTATTTCATCTTCTACATCTCCACCTTCTCCGCGCATGTCGTGGTAGAACTGCTGAGCGGTTCCCAGCCAACAGCTGTCACATGTGTTGTGTGGAGCTGGCGCTTGATAGACTGCTTTGCAATGACCTCGGCAGTAAGGTGTTTTTGAGACGCAGGTTTTCCCCGTTCATTAACCGAACGGCAATAGGCTGATTTAGCAACAGAACAGGAACGTCAGTTGACGACGGCGCCCGCAAATAAAACAACTGGAATGACCAATCGAAGAGAGGCAAATTGAGCACCGGAAGTCGCGTTTAGTCCTTTCCGCTCGCTCCCGGTGTCGACTGACGTTCCCCTTCTGTTCCTAATTCAGCCTATTGCCACGCTGGTGGGCCCCGATAAGGGCGAAACAGCTGTCTGTGGCTGCCACTGCCCGCGTGATATGGCTGTCCGTATGCGTGAGGTACTGGCCCGGCGTGGGTTGGTGTATGTGTGCCCCTTGCTTTAAGCTTGCACTAATTTCAATGCAATCGAATTAAGTTCAATCTATTTTTCATCAATTACTGTATTTCATGACGTTTGTAAACAAATCGAACAGCGAGCGCATAGGTAAAATCTTTGCTCCTTAGCACTTAGCGATAGCTATAACTAGTATCCAAATATTATGTATAAAACATTAGCGAAGCCCCATATCCAAGTAAATCTGGTTATCGATCCTTCCGAGAAATTTTGGTAGTCAGAGAGGAAATGTCACACTTTCTAGCTAGTGTGGGAGCCTGCAACCTGATATTACATATCCATGTTGTGGTTAGTTGACAGCTGTCAAATCAGGTTATCCGCTGGCTGTTATCCCTGTAACCTCCGTAATCTCTGTAAGCCCTGTAGCCCCTTTAACCCTTGTCAACCTCGTTATCTTTTTAAACCCACAGAGGACAAGATGGACACTGAAAAGACAAAGAAAAGCGAACCGATGCGTTGGGAGCTTACCAGATAATCCCTAGACTATTAGATGGTAAAGCAGAACGTCACCAGTCCTTTAGAATCTCAAAACTAAATGAAAAATTAGAAAATAACGTATTCGTATTCACAGTTGGTATATATGTAATATATAGATTTAGCCAGGGCTAAAAGCGAAGCTCTCGATAATATTTATAGTTTGTTCAAACAAAATATAAAATCGTGTAATGTTAAGCGGCGAAGGCAACGCCGGAGAATGGTGAAAAACAACAATAAGTCTAATTAGCAAAAAAAGCAACTTTGCACGTGCAGCACAGTTTTTTTTGTACATTTCTTTGCCGTTGTTTTGCACGACTACAGCGTGAAACGTCCAGAAACTTAGTTGCACGTTTTATGGAGGAAATGTCGTACGTGTTCTCGTTCACTTTTTTTTCACTGGCGCTCATTTTCACCTTGCATTGGTGGCCGCTAGCATTTCCCATTTTGTCACCGGCGCTACAAAATTTTTCATGTTGTTCTTCCGACAAAAAAATGTCTCCTTTGTTTTTTATCTCTCGCTCTAGACCTCTACCTCTGTCGCCCTTTTTCTCGCTGAGCTTCGCTGGCCTGCCGCCTACTTTCTCTTTTTCTCTCTTTTTCCTGCTCTGTATTCCAGATTTTCGGACATGACAATTAATCTAAGCTAAATACTTTAGACAACACGGATACAGAAACAATTTCCGCTTTCCGTTTCGTCTTTATTTACTCTTTAGTTGTCTCTGCTTTACAAGACGCCGGTGGCTATGCGATTTCCCGCCAAAATAACCTCGAGTTGCATTTGGGTTGCCATACCTGTTGATTGACTTATTTTACATTGGTATGCCTGTGGTGCAGACGGACAGTCGGTCGGTCGGTCGGTGTACGGTCACGTGATTACCAAGTTTTCTAGGATGGGTAAATTACTTCATTTTCTTACCCATGGTGCTCCGCGCGAGAGCTCCGCTATAAAAAGGGTTTCGATGGGTAGGGTGGATTTTAGTTGCCAACATGAATTTAACTTAGCTACGTCTCAGTTAGATGATAATGCTAATTTGCGCTGCAGGATTACTGACGTTGATGACCTGCAGCAGCTCAATGATCATATTCGTTGTAAATTTCCCTCCACTTTAATTGCTTAGACTTTACAAATTGTTCTGAGGTAGTTGTTTCTTTTGGTGTCTCTAATATTGGTATAAGACATCACAGCCCTGTTTAGTTTTTCGCAAAGTTTTTGTGATGCGCCCAAGTGCGAATGGTGGAACAACAGTTAAATTTAAACTGGATACCGAAGCTGAAGCCAACGTATTACCACTTAGTGTTTACTCTAAACTCAAGAACAAATCACCGCTGCTAGGAACAAGCGTTGTTCTTTCATCGTATAGAGAGTTCAAGGTGAAGCCTGAAGGAAAACTGAACTTAAGCTGTAAGGTTCAAGGAATGGAAAAAACTCTCCCGTATTTCGTCATTGCTGTTGAATCCCCGCCGATTTTAGGACTTTCAGCTTGCCAGAAATTAAATCTCGTCAGAAGGGTTGAAACTCTTGCCCAGTCCCCGCTTACCAAGTCTGAAATTATAAAGGAGTTCTCCGATGTGTTCTCTAGGTTGGGCCCATGGAAGGCGAGTATCACATTGAATTGGATGACAAAGTCGAGCCTGTAGTTCATCCACCTCGCAGTGCCGAAAAGCCTGCTGGAGAGACTAAAACTGAAACTTCAAGAGGTAGAGGAGAGAGATTTTATCCAGAAAGTGGATATACCCACTCCATGGGTTAACAGTCTAGTCATTGTGGAGAAACGTGACGGATCGTTGCGATTATGCTTGGATCCAAGAGATTCTAACAAGGCAATTCCTCGTGAGCATCACAGAATCCCGACAGCAGAGGACATGGCAAGTCGCCTGACTGGCAAAAAGGTCTACTCTATTGTTGATGAAATGGATGGCTTCTGGCAGGTACCCCTAGATGATGAAAGCTCTTACCTCTGCACGTTCAGTACACCTTACGGCCGTTATCGCTTTAAACGAATGCCCTTCGACATTAAGTCCGCCTCAGAAGTCTTTCAGAAAAAGAATGAATATTTGGAGACATTGACGGCGTGGAAGTCATCTTCGATGACATCATTGTCGCTGCTGCAGATGAGCAAGAACATGACCAAATCATGGTCAAGCTGTTGCAAAGGGCCCGAGAGGGAAACGTAAAGTATAATACAGCAAAGTTTCAGTAAAAAGTCAGTGAAGCGAAGTACATGGGAAACATCGCGTCTGAATCAGGGCTGAAACCAGATGCTGAGAAAGTGTGCGCCATAATTGAGATGCCCTCGCCTCAGAGCAAAGAAGAGTTGCAGAGATTCTTGGGAATGGTCAACTATTTCTCCCAGTTTATTCCCAAACAGTCGGAAATTACTGCACTATTGCGACAAAACTTAAAGAAAGAAGCAGCATGGACCTGGTCGCACGAGCACACACCGTCAGTGGAACGTCTTAAAGGAATCTTGTCTAGCCAGCCTGTTCTAAAATTGTTTGATCCTACCAAGCCAGTCAAGTTGCAAGTGGATGCGTCTAAGTCAGTTCTGGGAGCATGCATCCTCCAGGAAGCACGCTTACGCATCAAGGTCCCTTACATCAGCTAAGAAAACTTACTGTCAGATTGAGAAGGAACTTCTCGTTGTTGTATTTGGGTGCGAGAGATTCAACCACTATGTGTATGGCGGGCCAGTTGAAGTGGACTCAGACCACAAACCACTTATTCCAATCACAAAGAAGCCGCTGGTTAAATCCCCTGCAAGGCTTCAGCGTCTACTTCTAAGACTACAGAAGTACGACATCAGCACTACTTATGTGCCTGGCAAGTACATGCATGTAGCAGACACTCTCTCTACAGTTACGTTGAATGAGAAGTCTGTGGATAGTGAACTGAATGCCAGCCACAAGACATTTAGAAATAAAGCACCCATCTGTTCTTTCAGAAACCCCCAAGGAAAATGAGGCCTCTATAACTGAATGCTGAAGAAGATGGACAAACCATATAACCCACCATCGAAGGTCTTCACTAAATAGTGGAACCGGCATATCATTGGCTAGTTCGATTATAATATAACAAAATTAAAGCGCGCGTTCTGATTGGTCAGATAGGCATCTACCATTTGCTCATGGGTGCACGCCAAAAAACTGAGCAAGCGCGGTAAAAGTGAGGCAAATTTAGCAAATCTTCTCTCTAGTCAGTAAAATGCACCGATGAAATGCACAAATGAAAAGTGGAAGTTGAAGAAAGTACTCAGTTGTCATTTTGAAGAAAAAAGTCAAAAGATCAAAAGAAATTTGCCCTGGATGAATTTATCACTGTTTCCTTAGCGGCTAGGATCGGCAGAAGAAAAAGCGAATCAGCGATTTGAGGTACATTTTGTGTGTTCTTAGAGAAGAGAAAGTCTGTTTTGAAATGGCAATTTATCAATTAGTATTGTGTTATTGACTTTTTATTCCAACCCAGCTGCTGTTAATTTAAAAACAATTTTAGGAAAAACGCTCAGATTTGAGACAGCTCTGTGGTGTAGTTTTCATCGCATCGATTAAAAATTTTAGTCGAGTTACGGCCACATTCCGCTGCATTTGTAACGCAAATTTCGTTCGAGTACGGAAACAGTTGGGTTTTCAAATAAATTTTACAAAAAATGACTTCTCGTAGTAACAATTATAAGGAACTTTAACCACGGATTGAATCGACGGAGCCGAGAACTTACAATTCCGGTGGTTTGATTGCGGCGCTCTGATCAGTGGTTTTAACAGCCCGCTTTATATTCTGTTGCCGAGTTTGACTGTTTGAATTCTGCGCAAGGAAATTTTATTCTTCATGTAAATGACGGTTATATTTTACAGTCGTTTGTTTGAACAAGAATTAAATGCACATCCCATTGAATGCATTGAAGAGCGTGAGTAAAAAATAAAGGAACAAAATAACACCTTCCGCCTCACTGCCAGCGAAGCTTAAAACACGGTTCTGAAACCCCGACCCTTTAAACTGATATAATTTATTGCTCTTTTCAAGCAAAATTCTCGCGCTTGGAGCGTAACTTCTCTAAGATGAACGCGTTGTTTACTTGTGTGATTTAAATCAGACAAAAGAAAGCTCATTTTCAGATGTCGATTAATATATCGAAAAGGAACATCAAACAAAAAGACTGTAAAATCGGACCTCCTTTCACCTCACTGCCCACGAAGTTTAAAACACGGTTCTATGCCCCCGACCGTTGCTGATATAATTTACTGCTCTTTTCAAGCAAAATTCTCGCGCTTGGTGCGTAAGTTCTCTAACATGAACGGGCTGTTTACTTGTGTGATTTAAATCTATAAAAAGCCAATTTTCAGATGACAATGGAAACACTGAAAAGGAACAGCAAACAAAGCACTAAAAAAATCGCACCTCCTTTCACCTCACTGCCCACGAAGTTTAAAACACGCTTTTATGGCCCCGCGTCCTTTGCTGATATAGGACCAAAAGTACGTTAGAGCCCTCTGTGTTTATTGTTACCACTTTACTTGTTTACGACCACCTGTTTGTTTCGCTCGATTACTCGCTAGAAAACAAATGGCCCCACCAGCATGGTGGCGATGACGTAACGTGAAAACCACCTATAATTTGTTGCTCTTTTCAAGCAAAATTCTCGCGCTTGGTGAGTAAGTTCTCTAACATGAACGCGCTGTTTACTTGTGTGATTTGAATCTATAAAAAGACAATTTTCAGATGACGATCGAAACACTGAAAAGGAACAGTAAACAAACGACAGAATAAAATCGCACCTCCTTTCAAACCTCACTGCCTGCGAAGCTTTACGTCCATTGAAAAAGAAATCCACTGTAAACAATGCTCTAGTGCGTACGCTTTGCACATTAACGACTACGTTACGGCACTTCGAGAAATTTAAACGAAATAGATTAACCTCTAAATGCCTATTAATCCAATATAATTAACGCACTGGTAAAAATTGTATACGACTCGCACAGTTGTGTAAACAAAGAGTCAGTTTACACGATTATCAAAGGAAATAATGGAAGTTGTCGTGTAGTATTAAAGAGTTTGCGCTACTTACGTGAGATTCAGAACAAAACTAAAAAACAATAGTCCCTAAAAAGCAGAGAATTTACAGTTCGTGCCACAAACAAAACTGATCTCATATGGTTAATACTAAAATGCACAAAAGTTTTCCAGACATCAGAAGGCACACAGTTTCGGGCACAGCCATAAGACACTAGAATGGACTCTTCCTCTTTACGAAGTGTATAATACAGAAATCAACAGGCCCCGTGTAGAAAATGAAGCGCTTCGCTTCCACTACCAGCAACTGAACGTTCAAGTTCACGCCATCCAACAAGAAAACGAGCAAAAAATAGAAAAAATACAAAATGGCAACGTTTTTACAACAGCAAGAAACAATTTTGGCAACTTTTAAAGTCGGCGAGAAATGAAAAACGACAAAAAATCAAGAAACTGGTAATTCAATCATTACCTGCTCTGGATTAGTTCAAGCCAGTGGAGGTAAGCTGATGTCATTTTCTTCTGTTCAGATATAATAAGTTAAAAGATATATTTTTGCATTAACAACGGAGGAAGAATTCAACAAACTTGTTCTTCCATAACCTCAGGTACACATATCAAAATGTGCCTTTGAAATTAAATCTTGGTTAAAAAGTATCCTCTACGAAAAGATCCTGCAAGACAAGCCGTACTGGTGTAAAAACGGTTTGCTTTGTTTCAGATTAAATTTGACGTTCAGGGTCAAGAGGTAATCATTCCTCTGTCAGAAGAAGACAGTAGTGAAGAGCTGGAGCCCACATCATGTGAAACTACCAAGAGAGTGCTGGCAGCGAAAGACAGTGGTCTGATATCAGATGAGGCGTATCATGAGTTACGAATGTCCTTGCCAGAAGACCAGCGTTTTGCCTTACCGTCCAGTGCGTTAATTATATTGGATTAATAGGCATTTAGAGGTTAATCTATTTCGTTTAAATTTCTCGAAGTGCCGTAACGTAGTCGTTAATGTGCAAAGCGTGCGCACTAGAGCATTGTTTACAGTGGATTTCGATCAGTGCTGTAAAACAAGAAAGAAACAAGCAGAATGAAATTGTTAATATTGAATATTGAATCAATACCTGAGGTATATTATAATTATCTTCTTTTAATACAAGTGCTAGGATCTTTCTGTGGTCTTTTTATGTAATACAGGGTTTAAAAAACCATAAATTGGGGTTTCAGTAGACAAGATTCATGTAGAAACAAAAAGATAATGATCATTTTTTAAACAAACAAAAAACATGTATTTTCATGGTTTATTTCTAACTAGCATGAAAAAAATTAAAAAACCGTTCTCATTTCCAGGCTAAAAATGGAGATGGAGCAAGGCGCACCATTAAAGAGGTTTGGGAACAGCTCCTGACCATTCCAAGTGTCAAAAATGCAGTCCAGTTAAATGGTAATATGCTCAGCCTCCGTTTTGCAGCTGATGGAAGAAGATGGTACGGTGATGGCTGAATTCAGCCTAATTGAGGAAAAGGAAAATGATTGTGACCACCAGTACTGTGTTGCTTTGTGCAATAGTAAGTTGTATCTCAGTTTTGTGGACTATAAGGGGCTGAAATTACATTCATTACTAATGCATATTTGTATATTAAGCAAACTGCAAAAATGACATGATCAGACACTGACAGTTTAAAATATTGCTATTTACACATTAGCCCCGAAAGTAGAGGTGTGCTCTGAGGAAAATTGAAGGGTGTCTACATGAGGCATGTAAAGTGAACAAAATCAATTTTCCCCTGACAATATCAATACATAATGAAGTGAAAAGGTTATGAGACCTAACAAAATGATCACCCAAAAAATGCTTTGATCTTTTATAATTAATTCTCTTATCAGCTACTTTTTTAAGGACATGTCTGAAAATCATTCTAAAGAACTTGTATTTGTATTCTTACAGGAAAAGAAGACTACAAGGAAGCAAAGGCATGTCTGGGACCAATGTTGATGAAATTCACAATCTCCAAGTCAATGGCGCTGAAGTTGACGGTGTCCACTATTCAGTGATTTGGTAAGTACAATACAGGTACAATAAAGCAGCCCTCTTTTAAGAAGCCACTCTTCATTTTCACATTGGCTACAGTCAACTCCCGATAACTCAAACAATCTAGGGAAATTGCCTTTTAGTGTTAGCGTAAGGTTTAAGTTATCGACGGTTTGAGTTACCGAGGGTAAAATTACAGTTAATGTATGAAGGAAATCCAGGGGAAATTGACTTTGGTTAGAGTTAGCGTGTGGTTTGAGTAAGTGAGGGTTTCAGTTATTGGGAGCCAACTGTACTCTTATTGTAATATGATTATTTAATTGTAATATGACTGTTAAAAATAAATATGACTATTAAAAAAGTTCAAGTAAATAATTACAATCAACAAATTTAAGTGAATCATATCACAAGCCTTTTAGGAAAACTTCTTAACCAAGAAAACACATCACAGTGCATGTATTATCTTGATATTATCTGTTGGCCAGAAATTAATTTATGTTTCATTTCTTGTTTTGTCTGGTAGGTACTGCTGCTCAGACTGGAAATTTTGGCAATGGTGTATGGGCAGAATTCTGCCACTGCAAAATTCTTCTGCATATGGTGCTATTGTACCAAGGCAAAAATTGCAGACTTCACTAGTGAGTTGAAAGAAATATACATAAAATGCTATTACCATCAGAAATAAAGTATTCTTTTTAAAGATAGCCATGTATATTATTTTCTGAACAAAAAACAGATAACTTACCAATATTTGAAAAAGTGCTAATACAGCGATAGTGACCATGTATATTATGTTTTGTTGTCGTAATTACTTTAAGTACAAGACTGGCCAATTGAGAGAACCATAGAGGCCTACAGAAGGCAGCATACTGGAAAAAGTTTAGACCAGCGAAGAGGTTCAGTGCATGAAACACGGCAGCCAATTCCATTTGAACGAGTCATCATTGTCACTCTACACCTGTTCCTTCGAATAATGAGACTTCTCTTTCACCACGTGATCATATTTCTATGTTTAAAACCTTGACCACTTGAATAACCCTTATAAAATGGTATGACAGGCTTATGACTATTTACTTTTTATTTAGAAAAAATCTAATTTAAAAATTCAATACTTAACAAAGATTATATTCTTCAACAATTTTTCAAGGTGGTTGAGCTTGCTGGAAGACATTGGTGTACCCTTCAAATTCTTTGAAGTGCAACAAGAAGATGGGCCTTCCCAAACACAATGGACAAGACTTGATGGTAATAATTTAAGCCCCTTTATTCATTAAGGGCTTCTGATATCATGCAATGATGCAATTTCACACAATTGGCCTAAAATCACATCCAATCACACAATTTGAGGAATAATCACATAATTGGTAAAAAATTGTTCAATTCATGATAAGTAAAGAATGATTTGTTTAACTTTCAATGAACATTTTTTTCAAAGAAAATGATATTACAAAGGAAAATACAAGGTCAAGGACAAAAAATGAAAAATAATTGGCTAGTTCTACTGTGAATACATTGTAGTTAGTATGAAATTGTGCATATTGGCATTAAGATTATTTCAAATGAAAAAAGGCTGCTGTATTACTATTAATAAACTCAACAACTCACATTTTGGGTAAAGACCTCTGTAACATTCTTCACAACTTGGATCTGAAGCCAGTCTTTGAGGGAATAGTGACAGAGCGCACGCTTACCTACAAAAATGTGAAAAAGTTATGGAAGGTAATGAAAAATTCATACTACTTGAGCCCACAATTTTAAATGACATAATAATTATTTTGTCAGTGATAAACATATCTAAATTCACTTTACCTCCGCACCTACAAGTATTTTGCATTTAGGGATTTGGTGAGCTGGTGACAGCACTTGAGGCAGAGCCAGGCTAAGAATGCTACAAACCACCTGACCTGTTCAGGGAGCAAGCACGAAAATGGGCCATGTTCTTCCGAGTTGTCCATTTTGATGAGGTACAACATTATTTATTATTCTGGAAGCCCCTAAATTTTAACATGGTTCACTTGTCCCAACACTACGAAAATTAATGTTCACTATCTTGTCGTCTCAACATAATCTTGTCTTATAATTCAATATTTTATTATTGAGAACAATGTATTGATACAGTGTGTATAATAATATATAACACCTTATATACATGGTAAGCTAAACACTTCTGGACTTATTGACTTAATTGAAATCAAAGGGTGCCAATGACTAGCTCAAGGATTAGGTATTTTAGAGATGAAAGCTGACAGTGAACTTGCAATTACTTTTACAAGTCTACTGGTATTATTTTAGTCTGTCAAAACATGGGTCACACCATGCAAGATCTCTCTCACAAGGCAACGGCTTTTTTGCTGATTTTAGTTGGACCCAATGAGATATTACTATAAAAACATATGCGATAGGGCTGAAAGGTGATCCAAATTCTGGAATTCTGCATTTGCATGTCCCAGTGCCCAAAATAACTATTCTCGTTCCTATGCTTTGTATGCTATGTCATCACAGATAATACTTACTTAAACTCCTGTCACCTAAAAGATGTCCTTGACTTTCAAACATATGCTTGCTTGTTATCTTCTGCAGCACTGGTGTACCATGTTCCACAGTTTCTGGAAGGATGTGGCTCCATTTCTATTTTCAACTGTCAGCCAGTCGAAAAGAAGAACCACGAGCAATCGCGAATGTTCCACCGAGCAACACAAAAAGGAGGGAGAAACTCGCACTACACAAGGCAAGTTATGGAAAAGAAGAACAGGAAAATTTTTGCAAGTGTAAACGATTTATATCGAACCAAGCGTATGTATCAGAAGAAAGATAACGATGAAGACAGGAATGAAAGTGCAGGCAGCATAAGAATGTATGACATTTATGATATTGAAAAAGGTTAAAATTTATTTACCAAGACATATACTGACAATAATTTACAAAGTGAAATGATTCTACAAAAGAGTTGTTCAAACAGGATTCAAAGCACTTAACTACAGTTATGTAACAAGAAAGTTCCCGAAACAATGTTATATTCGCTTTCAAAAAACAAACACACCAAGTAGATATATTTTAAAAGTATTGTATATAATCTAGGGTCTAAGTTCTTTGTAGGTTCTTAACAGTACTTTTACAAACAACAGAGCAAGCTAGTTTTTATAGTTTACTACAAAATATATTTCAACAAAGTTCATAAAAAGAGTTTATATTACATTTTTTTATATCTCCTTGAGCAAAGTCTGAATCACAGATTAATACAGCTGAAAAAATTAGTTTACAGCAGTCATGTAAAGTAAATGAAAAACAATATACTCTTACTACTGATTCAATTTTTCTTGAGAAAAATATTTTTACCTCATCTTTCAGATTATATATGAAAGACAACAGTTGAAAAACGTAGCTTAATTAGATATTTAATTTTAAGTTAGCTTCAGCAAAATAAAATCTTGTGTACAAAGCCCATGTAAATACTCAAATAGTCTATCGCGAAAAGATTTGTTGTTATAGACCATATCAAGGAACAAATTTACTTTTTTATTTAAGTTATTTTATAAAAGAACAACGAAAATGGTACATTTTATGTTAAGCTTTAGGGATAAATAAAAAAAGAGGTAGATTCAAATATGAAAAGCACAAGAGGCAACTGGATGCGAGTTCTTTCTTAAAATCACCGCAAGTTTGAACCCTCCATGTTTTTTCTCTTGGCCTAGTACGCATGCGTTTACACTTTCTTCGAGGGAGCCCTAAGTCACCAAGGTTACTAGAGAGGGGAAGGGACTCTTTTTTCTCTCGTTTTACAGCATTAAATCAGCTTCCCTCTTTCGATTTACAAGGTATTTTACAATCAAGCTTATTGTGAAGAAATCTTGACCGGAGAAAAATGTCCAGCTTTGCCTTGCTATACTGAGGATCAAAAGAAAAAACTTGAATGCCCGTGCCTGGAAATTCTTATCTTTGCCTACAACGGCAATAGACTCAACAAGTTGAGTACTTGAGTTTCAGATTCAGAATTTTAACCTGCTTCCGGACCAGAACTTAAATAGGAATGCTTAACCTTTAAAGCTTTCACAAGGTCTCATACAACAATGAATGAACACAACCAATGTTTATACTCTTATATTCTTGGTGGTCGTGTTTGTGTAACCTTATCTAGGAGGATGTAACGCCACTAAAGAAGCCTTGGAATTATATTTAAGAAAGTTTGTTAAGCGAAGGTGTGTATACCATTTAATAAAAGAGGATTTATCTCCATTATCTGGCCAGACTGCTGGAAGAAGAGCTAAACTAACAGAAACAGCAATGAAGAATGAATCTCCAAAAGAGGCAGCCCCTACAGATTTGTGCAAGAGGTGCAGCATGTTAGGACAATGGGCAAAGAATTACACAAATTCACCATTCACCACAAGAATGGCTTGCAAAGCAGGAATTCTACAAATGTGGAATAAAGGGCCATTTAGCTGCAGAATGTTCTAACAGAGGGACTAGGAATACCTCCAATAAATGGGTTACTGACACACAAGGCATAAATTTACCCGCACTTTTTTTCCCTTGCTCAAAACTCACGACCTCAAAGAGAACAACAAGTATCAGCACCTCAAAGATGAGTAGCCAGCTGACGCGACAGGTATACGTCCATATTTAAAACATAGGTCAGAGGATTGGAAAGAGGCAAGGAAGAACATACTAAATGCAAGTAAAGAGGGGGTTCTTACTTGGCACTTTGGCCTTACACAGGCTCAAGATTAGTGGAAATCTGCAATTCAAGGAGAAAGTATTGATGACAACCAGGGTTCTATCAACAAATTAGCTATGGGGTGGGGAACTGTTTGTGAGGACTGTGCTCGGGTCACCTACTATGATTCACGTAGCGATTACATGATTATGAAACAGGATTATGGACCATCAAGCATCAAACATTGCAATAAAGATATGTTTGGGTGTTCACAAGATGATATTGTTATGATATGCCTGGAATAAGTGGGGGAGGTATTGTTGAATACAAGTGTCCATTTAAAGGAGGCTATCCCTCGCACTACAAACAAATCCCAGCAAGCGACTATATACAAATGCAGTTGAAGATGAAAGCAACAAACAGTGACCGGTGTCACTTTGTTAGCTGGACACACACACACAAAAGCAAAAATTGACACCCACATCACATTTTCTCAAAAGGTAACACCCATTAGATCTTAATTGAGAACATAATACCCATGGCAAGTTATCGTCTTAGCCTCCTGGTAGAGAGGATACCACAAAAGGAATAAAAAGGTTTGAGATAGTTTATGGAGAAAATTCTTCTTGTTGCCATGTTTTTCTCTTTCGTTCATCGCATTATTTGTGATTTTTCGATAAAGAAGTTTAAGCCAGTGTCCCTCAAAGCTACTGTTCTAGGTAGGAAAGGGAGGGTAGTGATACACACTCCCCTATCGATTAATTCTGTGATTAACTGCGCGATCCGAAGACTCACTCACCCAAAGAAAGTTATATCTACACCGGGTCAGTCAACAGAAGAAGACATCGCTGCTGATGATTACGAGGTTTCCGTAATTCCTCCAGAGACTTCGACCTCTGGAGCTATTTACACAAGAAATGTTAGCTCCGTTTGCAACTGGGAGAAAGAACGGGCCAAACTTTTTCAAGCAATTGTGGAGAAAGAGGGAATGCCAGAGAGCCCAAAGCTTATCTGCGTGATTTGCAATGAGCGGTTAAATATCTTTGCGTTATCTTTACTGCAGCCGTTGGCAGTTTTTCTGCCCAAAGTGTGCATGGGACATCCACCGAGAAAAAAACCAATTCCATGTTTTGGACAGTGGAAGATAAATGTTTTTGGTACCGTCGTGAGGGTGTGGAATTTTTTTGCAATAACCCAATCACCACAGGAAACAAGAACATGCATTTCGCAGGAAAATATCATGAAAGCTTTAGTGTTCTTACTTTGAAGCTTATTGAAATATGTCCTCACTTGTCTTGTTGGCGTGGAAGACTGTAAAACTGAATGCTCCAGGTCAGAATCTGATTTACTCGATAGTGAACTGTCTAGGACCATTGCCTACATTCATTGGTGAACGATCGGCCGCCAGCACGTGTCGAATCTTTGTTATGCTTCGCTTCTTTAATCCTCCTCTCTCCATTCTTTAACGTCTGTAAACCGTCAATCAGTGTACCAGAAAAATTGTTCATTGAGTCAAAAGGAAGTAATTGGGTATCTTGATATGCTAAATATTGCACTTATAAACGTAAGGTTTTGACCGACGATTTAAGCCTTTATGTACTGCTCGAGATTACTCCAGTGCAGAGGTTCAATTACAGCCTCGGTGTGAGATCTAGAGCGCACCACTGTATGATTGGCGGGGCTCGATGGAATATGTCCCCTAAATATTCGTATCCTGGGTAATTTTGGCGCACCAAACATCTCCATGCCCAGCTAATAATTTGTAACTTTCCTTCAGCGTTTCCTAAAACTTTTGACAACGTTGTGTCTTCTAAAGTCTGGTAAAATTTACAACCATAAAAGGCACTCGTTCTTAAGAACGTTCATGACACGGGGAAATGAAAATGGCTGCTAGAGGCGGGATTCCTGGGAACAAGTAGAATACTTCTTATAGGGGGTTAATTATAAAATGCACGTGCTAATTGCGAATCACTTCAATGAAACACGACACGTATTACTCTACGACTTTCCACGCGTGATTGATGAACCAAGACCTGCTGTTTTATTTGTTTTCTTTTTGCCATTCGGGTTTATCGTTGGCAGGTCAAAGCAGAAACAACTGGTGATTTATGCGAAGTTACTGTCTGATTGTATTATTCCAGAGACTCATTTCCTTACTAACATAACTATTGAACAGGAACTGTGCACAGCTTCTTGTGTAACTCAAAAAATAAAAAATGTCCTTGCAGCCCGTGGTGTATCTCTTCATAAAGTAATGCACGGTAGGCCCATAGGACGCAAAAAGCTCCAACCTAGGAACCACTTTTGCTCTTTAATTCATTTGAGCTCAAACTTTGCAGGATGGTAGAACTTTGTATTCCAAAAAATCCTGTTTTTGTTTTTCGATCTAAAGATTTCAAGACGTAGCAAAACAAATAAATAATTTTTAAAATGCACGACGTGATAAGAATAGAAAGTGAATTTTTTTAAAAAAACTCAATTGGTCAAGCGTTTTCAAAATTATATATTTGTTTTGCCATAACTTGAAAGTTATAAATTTTGCTGTCAATCTTGTGACGTCATTTTCCCGCCAAAAATCGTTAAAAGCGAAAAAAAACATAGGATTGTTTGGAATACAGAGTTCTACCATCCTGCAAAGTTTGAGTGAAACGAATAAAAAATGCAAGTAGTTCCTAAGTTGCAGCTTTTTGCGTCCTATGGGCCCTGCGTGATGAGTATTGGAAGTGATGGGGCATCAATCATGACAGGAAGGGTTGAAGGTGTGAACACGCTACTGAAAAAGGAAAAAAAGCCCGTTATCATTAATATACATTGCATGGCACATCGCTTGCAGTGCACTAATCAAGCAGCTAGAAATGTTGAAACAATGGAGAAGTATATCATCTACCATGCACGATTTAGGAAGATAAAATTTATGACCTATCACACATCACACAGCACAACCGACACAGACGAGGAATAACCCAATTATTATTTTATTTGCGATTGCGTAGTCAACAGCAGCAGGGAAGGTATGGGGCCGACAACCTTGTCACAAGACATCGCAGGGCGTAACACGGAAACACATGGTGTCACATGACATCCCATGACGTCACCGTAGGATCACAAGGCATCACATTGTATCATGAAGCATCACATGGCGTCACACTACATCACAAGGCTTTAAACTGCATCGCAACACATCACACCACATCACACTGCATCACACTACATCACAAGACTTCCAACGGCATCACTAGGCTTCACACAGCATCACATTAGGCATCGCACAGCATCACAAGGCCTAGCACAGCCTCACAAGCTTCACAGGGCATCACAAGGCTTCACACAGCACCACAAGGCTTCACACAGCACCACAAGGCTTCACACAGCATCACAACGCCTCACAGAATCACAAGGCCTCGCACAGCAACACAAGGCATCACACAGCATCCCAAGGCTTTACACCGCATCACAAGGCCTCACACAGCATTATGAGGCCTCACAAGGCTTCACACAGCATCACAAGGCCTCATGCAGCATCACAATGCCTCAAACAGCATCACTAGGCCTCACAAAGCATCACATAGTACCACAAGGCATCACACTGTACCACAAGGCATCACATGGCATCACAAGCCATCACATGGCATCACAAGGTATAAATGAAGAGTGAAGTACTTGCTCTGATTGGCAGCATTAAAAAAATGATGTAAGGCATGTTCTACGCAGTCTTTCAGCTTTGTGAAAACAAAGTATGGATTACAGTTCTTTTTTTCTGTAACTTGCACCACAATATTTTTAGCAATGGACAACAACTTTAAGTTTAAAACAAGACATGTTTCGATCGTTCAACGATGATCTTCAGTTGTGAATTCGTTTGTAAGTTCGGTTGAATTAATACAAGCAATGACGTATAAGTTAAAACGTGATACAAATCAAAATTTTGAAAAATTAACGTGCAATTTTAAGATGCGCGAGACGTGAAATAACACTTGCGCGAGCACTATACTTAATACAAGGAACAAAATTGTAAAAATTGAAATAATTACAATGGTTATAACACAAAATGTTATGAGAACAAATATATATATATATATATATATATATATATATAATAAATAAAATATAGATATATATACACATAAATGTATACTTGTGATCAAAATATATATATACATAAATAATATATATATATACATAAAATTGTAAAACGCATAACTCTAGATGGAAATAAATTTCTGCCCATCCCCCAATAGAGGCACAGTATATATATATATATATATATATATATATATATATATATACATATGTAGTCCATTCTCCTTTGTACAAAGTATATATATATATATATATGTATATGTACATATGTATACATATATATAAAATAAACTTAAAGAATAATATCAGAACGAGAGTGTTAAGTCAGCATGTTTCAGCTGCTTATTTAAAGTGGGATTCTCCCATTTGATGTGCATTGCCTCCTTCAACATAAGTTGTAGTCTGTTGGGTGCATAATCCACGATGGCAAAGCAATTCTCTTTCTAGCTGTTACAGGCTACCCCAAATACATACAAGAAGATACCCCTTTGTTCGTGCAACAACATAACACCCAGGTAGACACAACTTGAGGGATACACTGAACTTTGAAAGACAGGTATAAGCCATGGCACTAAAACTCAGCAAATGCACAGTCTAGCACAAAGCATGCTCTTTAGAACAACCCAACCCCCCTGAAATTTAACCAGGCTACCCCAAATACATACCAGATGATAGCCCTGTGTCTATGCAACAATATGACACTTGCCTTGACGGAAGCCCCACTCAAAAAAAAAATTGGCTCGCCCAACGGGGGCAACAGGCCGCCCCCTCGATCATTTTTTCTTTAATTTCCACTGATTTCTGTCAATTCTAGGAAGTTATTTGGAGCTCATGGTTAAGAGCTAAGGGTGGTTTGTCCCGAAGATTGCTTCGGAAGATTGCCTGCAATGTGCTGGACTTGACTTAACATTTCAGGCAATGCGGTTTTTAAAACTCTAGCTAGATATAAAGTCTTGTAAATATATACAAAATAGGGTAGTTTTTGTAGTTTAATCAGCAACTGTCAGAAATGCCTCCAAAAGGCAGAGGAAGGAAGCGTCGCAGCGCCGAACTCTTTGTTGCCGAAATTCGTGGAGAAGCAGCACAGTCTTTAAATGCCGAAGGAGCAATTTTGGAAGCCTTCTGTCAGCTGCTTTCCACCGAGTTAAAAACATTCCATCAGACTCCTGCCGCTAAAAGTTTTGTGGCTGTATGTTATGGCAAAGTATGAGCTAAACGTTGTCTCCTTTGTCGCCAACTCCATCACTGAGCTTGCGGTCCGTCCACCGACACGTCATTTGGAAACAGTGGCAACGGTAACAGGTATTTCATTGGACGCAGGTGACCAGTATTCTTTGGATTTGTGATATATTGTAAGTTTGAAGGCTTTGACGTTCGAGGTAATTGCTTTAAGATAAGCTTTAATCTGTAGGTTTACTTTACTGCACCTTTCATTTTTCATTAAGATACATTTTCCATTAATGTACACTTCATTTATACTAGGCTACTTTTCTGTTTGAGGCTGTTGCGGTCGCCAGGAAGAGCAAGTTAGAAACGGAGAGCAATGGCTTCCCTGTCCTCCTAACTCTGCCTGTTGGCACTTGCCTTAACTGATCGATTACAACAAGCCCTGTGACGTTCAAGTCTTGACGCTCATGGGTAAAAACGCTGGCCTGAAGTTGGCTCACGATGTGACCACTGCAAGTTAAATTTTAATTATGATAAGTATGGTAACCGTTCAAGGGTTTGGCGCCTTTATAAAGAGATGAGGCCTTTGGTTGAGGCAACTGATGTATGCTTTGTCGACTGGAAGCTGCTAGAATTCCAATGTGCTTTGGCGTAAGTGCGTAAGGCGTATGTGCGGTTGTTTTGATCTTTGGTTGCATTTGCGGCAATCTGGTTGTTAATGCACCACAGTCAGTTTTAAACTGGTCACATAACCTGAGGTCAGGCGTTATATTTTGTTTGCTTCTTTGGCTCGAGATTACAGATGACAAGGGAGAGGGCATGATCGCAGGCTACTGGTCACAGAACTTATGTTCTGCTTTATAATCTTAATAAGCTTAATGTTATAACATATTTTTTTTAACTCTAGAAACCACAGTTAGGTCAGCTTTTCTGGCTTCTCAACAGTCTACAACGAAGTGTTCCGCCTGCTTTCAGGAATAGGAGTTATTTAAAATTTGTCATATGCACATGTATTCTGAA